TAAAGGTGGCTAATGGCTCCATGGATAAAGGCACTTGCTGCCAAGCTGAGGACCTGAGTTCAATTCCCAGGACTCATGATAGAAGAGACACCTCCTGTAAATTGTCCTCTGACCTCTACATGAGCACTGCAGCGCTCATGTCTGTCTGTCTGTCTCTCTCTGTGTCTCTCCATCTCTGTCTCTCACATAGACACACACACACACCTTCAAAAGTTAAAAAGGTTAGCCGGGCGGTCATGGCGCACAACTTTAATCCCAGCACTCGGGAGGCAGAGGCAGGTGGATCTGTGAGTTCCAGACCAGCCTGGTCTATAAGAGCTAGCTCCAGGACAGCCTCCAAAGCCACAGAGAAACCCTGTCTCGAAAAAAAAAAGTTAAAAAGGTTTAGCAGTGGCCTTCAAAAGTCTGCAGTAACTTGCCCTCCCCCAATTTTACTATTCTATAGAAACCTCCTTTACCACTCTGTCCAGTTTTCTCACTAGTTCTTAGCCACAAGGCCAGCAAAGGGGAATGTTTTAGCTGATGTTGCCCACCCTACCCCACCCCTCCACTTCCAATGTGTTGTCGCCTCCCAGCATTTACTGCCATCTAAGGCAGTGTAGACCTGGTCCACCAACTATATTTGCTGTCTTTCTTGATTCAAAATGCATTTTCTCAGAGCAGTGTTTGCTTGTCTAGTTCACTGCTATCCACCTTGTTTCCTAGTGTGTGGAACAGTGCCTGGCTGGCGCAGAAGGCCCAGAGGGGCACAGGGGGCACAGAAGGGATCAGTGAACTCTCTGCCCTCTCTCTCACAGCTCTTCCTCCTCAGCACCCTGACGGTATCTTTCCTCGGGCCCGGGGCCCTGACACCCTTCGCTTATCTACGGAGTCTCAAAGTGATCTTACATAAACTCCCAATGATTACCTAGACATCCACATCAGCCTCTTTCCCTCACCCTTTCCCCTTGCTCAACACCGTCCCAAACAACTGGTTACTACACAAAACCTTACAGCCTAGTTGCTCTCATTCATCTAGATCTTTGTCTCCACTCCTACTCACGCTGCCCTGCCTCCAGTCTAACCTCTTGACTAGAAAACTATTCTGTTAGGCAGGAAGGAGAGTGTGGCGGTGAGACAGACTTCTTATCAGAAAGACCTGGATCTCAGAACCCAGCTCCTGCCTGCAAGTAGTGAGCCAATAACAGATGCTTAGTCAGCTGAGACAGGATAGTTACTTATCTTGACAAATTGTAGGTTTCTCACCTGTAACGGGATAGTATTAAAGACAGACAAAATGGTGTCCTGCTTGGAGCAAGTGTTCAAGTATGTCTTAAAATCTAAGATCTCGGGGGCTGGATATTGGCTCGGTGGTTAAGAGCACTAGTTGCCCCTACATTCACATGGTGGGCCACACTCTTCCCTAACTCTGGTTCCAGGGCATGACCTCTGTGGGCACCAGCCATGCATGTGGGACATATACATCCATGCAGAATCAGTAACTCCAGTTCCAGGGAATCCAACCCTCTTCTGGCTCCTTGGGCACCAAGCACATACGGTGCACAAACATATATGCAGATAAAACACTCACACATAAAACAAAGAAATCTAATAAAAACTAAAAAAACAAAACAAGATCTCAAGGCTGGAGAGACAGCTCAGTGGGTAAGAGCACTTGTTCTGCAAATACAAGCACCTGAGTTTGAATGCCCAGCACCCATGTAAAAAGCAGGATGCCGTCACATGTCCCTGTGGCCCCAGCACTAGGGGAGCCAAGACATGAGCTCTAAAGAGCTCAGCCAGCCTGTCTGGAAGGCTAAGCTTCTGGTTCAGTGAGAGACACTATGTCACAGCAAATGTGATAAAAACAGAATGACATACCTAACACTGAATTTTGGAGTTAGGAAGTTATTTAATTAGTACTCAGCAAAAAAACAAAAACAAAAACAAAAAAAGCTCATCTCTAAGTAAGAACTCTAAATGATACAAAAACAAGAATATAAAACCATAATTCATGATAAATTTAGAGAAGGAAAAACCTTTTAGTTACTATTTTCTAAGTGAATACCAATTTAACAATTTTATTAAAGCTATTCATGCTGGGGAAAGCATACCTAGCTTTTGAAGTAAGACATTAGTTTAAAGTCTAACTGCCACACGTGGCTAAGCTGGCAGGTCATTCAATTTCTTCCCTGTATATAAATGGAGATTCTAAAACCACTGCCAGGGCTCATTTTTAAATCAGTGATTGTCCTAGTTCCATTTCTGTTACTGTGATAAAATACTCTGACATAAAGCAAGGGTTTCTTTGGCTTAAAATTTCAGGTCACAACCCACCATTGTGGGGAAGTCGCAGAGAGAAAATAGCTTCATGAATGCTGTCCCCTTACTTTCTTCACTTTATACGTTCAGGACCCAGACCACAAAATGGTGCTTCCCACACCAGGATGGCCCTTCTTACCCCAACCCACTTAAGTAAAAAAACAAAAAACAAAAAACAAAAAAAAAATCAATTAGGAAAAAAAAAAAAGCCCTCACAAGCATGTCTCCAGGCCAGCATGGCCCAGGCAGTCCCTCACTGGGACAAGCATTTTTCCAGGCTGACATGGCCCAGGCAATTCTTCAATGGGACAAGCGTTTTTCCCAGGCCAACATGGTCCAGGCAGTCCCTCCGTGAACCTCCCTCCCACCAAGTGATTCTACACTGTAACAACTTGATAATTAAAAGAAACAATCACAGTCATAATATCTAAGAAGTTAATACATTTGTGAAATGTGAACATTGTGAAATTATGACAATATTACACAACTGTGTCCACTGATTTAATTGCCAACAGAAGGTAACTATTACTTTTAAGAAAACAGCAGTTAGACAACATTAAAAATTTTAACTGAACAGTCATACAGCATTATAGCCAATTAAAAACGGTTTATTACTTTTACTTGGGGAGGGGTGGGGTGGGTGTGCACAGGCCAAGAAACCTGTGTGGAGGTCAAAGGGCCACTTTCAGGAGCTGGTTCGCTCCTCCCACCACGTGGATTCTGGAGAACCAATTCAGGTTGTCAGGTTTGGCAGCAGGTGCCTTTACCTGCTGAGCCATCTTGACAGCCCTACAAATAATATTTGATTGCATTAACTAAACTACACAGAGTTTAAAACCACAATCTACTTCCAGTTTTGAAATACAATTTTTGCAGCAAATTAAATATGTCTAGATGAAGACTACACATAATAATAATAATTTAAGGAAATGGTTATAGTCTACATGACAATTATCAGGATACATTGTAAGGTTCATGTTGATCTTGCTGTGGTTTGCCCAATATTAGTCAAGTGTGTACACATCTGTACCTAGCAAACCTCTGTTGCACTGTAGTCCACACACACCCATTTAAGATTATTCCAGAGAAGTGAGTAGATACAGCAACAACCACACAAAGAAAGGAGCTCCCCTAGAGGCAACTTCACTAGGAACCAGCTGGAAAGCTCTTAACCTTTAAAAAGACCTGAAGAACCCTTACCTAAACACCAGCAAAAAGCAGCCTTACCTAAAACAAATACCAGCATGGGCACACCATGAAAAATCAGGCTTCATCAAGAACAGTCTTCAAGATCATAAAAGCTACAGTTATACACTTCCCCAAGACATAGATATTTAACAATTAATCATAAATTAAAGGAGGGCGTGTTTTAAATAATAAGGAAATCATCAGGATGTTTGCATCAGTGTACACTCTTACCATTCACTTAGGGATAGGGTGTGTTTTGCTTGCTGGATTCAGTACGCTTTCGTGTGTGTGTGTGTGTGTGTGTGTGTGTGTGTGTGTGTGTGTGTGTGTGTGTGTTTGTGTGTGATATTCACAGTAGCAACCAAATGAGAGCGGCAATAAGGTTCAAAAAGTAGTTTCTGAGCCAACAGCTGCTAGGGCCCTGTGACCAGGATAAGAACTGGCTTCTCTTGCCCACGGTTCCCTTCCTTGACTTAGCGCCTTCTACTGGACAGTTAATTACCCTTCCATTTTCAAATTTGTAAATGTCAGCAACTCAAAACTCTCCAATTATTTTATTCTCCTTTTCTTTAAAGAAGACGATGTCTTGGAAAAGGAGGTGGGTTTTCAGCATCTCTAATTAAGTTACGCAAACTTCAAAATAAATGCTAACAAAAATCCGTGTTATGTTATCCATAACGTAAAAAGCTGTGAAACGTCTTAAAGAACAATGAAGATAATTCTCAAAAGACCTTTAGGACAGGTAGCAAGTAACTGTAATGGCTTTGACAAAGCCAGGATTGTTGTTTTTCCCATCTTAAAATGATATTCAAATATATTAACCTCCGTTTCTGTTTTTTGGTCACTTCTAAAGCTGAAGTTTGGCTAACTCATTGTTGTTAACAATCCAGTGTCATTTCAGTTTTTAAACTTGAAACAAAAACCATTTTTTTAAAAAAATCGCCCATTCTCTAAATTCCCTTCACAGAGAAAAATGAAGCACGGACTTGACAAGCTCAGTTGTGGGGAAATTCCATGGACCTTTTACAATATGACACAGCCTTTCCCCTTCTGCATAAATGCTGTTCAAACTGGCTCCCAACACTTAGGACAATGCCTAAAGTTGGAAGCACATTAGTCCCAAATCTAAGTGGCTGGAGGACTAGAAAAGTGAGCGGGCTCGGATGCTCTAACATTGGCACCCCGAATCTGCGGGATGGGTGCGTTAGCTGGAGCAAGACTAGTTCACCCCGCACAGTACTAGTACTGATGATGCGGGACCCACCCGACTGGGGGCGAGCCAGGCGGCGATCAGCCGAAAGCCCCCAAAGTAAAAATAGCCCCAATCTTGCCCAAGAGCGCGGAGCTCGCTGGGCTACCACCGTTGGTCGACTCCCCAAGCACCTCCTGCCAAGGCGCCTGCGCCGTCCTCACGGCCTCCGCACCCCCAAACTGCCGGCCCGCAGCTGAGGCCCCGCACCCCCAAACTGCCCGCCCGCCTCTGCCGGAGGGACCCCGGCGGCCGCGACTACCTTGGTCGTCCGGATGTGCTCCATCACGGGGCGACGCCCGCAGGCAGCCGGCCTTAGGAGCGCACCATCGGGAGAGAAACGGGGCGGTGACAGCCACCGGCAGGAACTCCCTCAAGCCGCCAGCGTCAGCCAGCCCGCCGGCGGCGACCACTGCGCAGGCGTCGTCCGCGAGCGCTGTCGCCTAGATACACTTCCGCAAACCCCCAACCACCGAGGTGATCCTGACTGCGAGCAGAGCGTCTCCAACCCAGATTGGCGCTGGCAGGGTCGCACCCATGGACATTGTACAGCGCCCTCTCTGGTGGAGGACTGGCATTGCCAAGGCCGACCCAGCCCACCCCTGTTAAGGACCAACAAAGCAAGGCCTCTGAGGAACTAGAAGGAATTTCTAGGTTTGAAGATAAGACCGGACTAAAAGGAATTTGCCAGTGAGGGAGAGAATGGATGTCTCTGAGCTCCATTACCATGCCAGTTTAAACCACTTTTAGAAACCCATTGGGCACTGAGCTGGTTTAATGAACTAAAAATTTATTATGAATATTAGTATTAAAAATGAGTACGTTTTATATGATCTTTGTTGCCAAGTGTCAAGATACAACTCTTACAGTTGCTCTTTGATTAAGATGTTATGTGAGCCAGGCGGTGGTAACACACGCCTTTAATTCCCGCACTTGGGCAGCTTGGTCTACAGAGTGAATTATAGGACAGCAAGGGCTACACAGAGAAATCCTGTCTCAAAAAAACTGAATGATGACGATGACGATAATGATGATGACGATGATATACTAACGGAATGGCTTTTTTTATTTGAAAGACATTTTCTCACGACTCTTTCCTATAGTTTGTTTTCCCATAAGTAAGCAAAGATGGCTAGGGATGGACAATTAGACTTCCTATTAGCTGTTTTGCTGTCTCCCTTGCTGTCTTCTGCAAAAGGCTTTCCATTAAACCAACACTTTTAAAACTGCATGGCAACCCGGGGGGCCAATAGCTGACCGAAACGTAATTAAAAAGCGAATGTGCAGTCAATCTAAAGGATACAGCCTGTTTCTGGCATTACTCCTCTCCAACTGTGGACTTTGTTCATGCCAGCTAACTACTGAGGAAGTACCTCAGCTCGGATTCCATCTACTGTATGTTATGAATTACAGTGTTTATGTTATGAATTGCAGTGCTTTTACAGTGTGTGCAAAATGTTCTACTCTTATAGAAACAGTGATTTAATTACAGAAAGCAAAACTTCATATTTTCCTGTTACCATTCCTTAGCACGGATCAAATTAGTGTAGCTTTGGTTTGAGCTGTATTAGAAACACATATCCACTTCTGCTTTAGTTATTAATAAGTAGTTAAGATGCACGTGCACAAAACAATTGTTTTTAAAAGCAAATTATGGTCTGGCGTTGGTGGTGCACACCTTTAATCCCAGCACTCCAGAAGCCGAGGCAGGCGGATCTCTGTGAGTTTCAGGCTACCCTGATCCACGCAGTGAGACTGTAAAGAACAAACAAGCAAAAATATTAGCAAATGTTTGACTTGTACACCTATTTTAATGTACCTATGTAGCCAAGGGCAAATTTTTTCTGCTAAAAAGGAGTCATGAGAGGAAAGTTTTTAAAAAGATTTTTAAAAGGACTACCCTTAAGCCAGAATCAGTTCATTTTTGTTTGATTTTGGCTTGTGTTCATTTTCTCCTTAAGTGATACTTTTAATAGTTTAAGATCTTTCACAAAAACTGACTTTTAAAGGGAGGCAACATTAAGTTAATGTTTGGCAGAAATGAAATAACTAGAATCTGACCATATAACCAGACCTGATTGTGAGGTGGGACCCAAATTATCATGTGCTATCTTTAGCCCCCTAAATAATTATCAACTTATTGCCCTTTTTGTGTGTGACCTAACACCCTTATGTCTGTTGCATTTATCCTTTTAGAATGTACAAACAAATACCCTAGATTCCACCAATCTGAAGGCTGACACTGTCACCTGAGTACTAGCTAAAGGCTATAGTCGTCAGAGAGCACCTGAGGCTGAAGCAGAGGCTAGTGTGCCTTTCTGGATCCTGCCTTCCAGGTGTTTCCACACACACAACTGCAAAATGACTTACAAAGTTCTTTGTTCTTTTACTATAAAAATTTCTTAAGATTCCTAACATGTTTTAACACAGTATTTGGGGTAACCTGAGTTTGTGTTCCTTGGACACAGTCACTCATATCTGGCTCCAGAATAGACTCCTATTCTCTTTGAGAGCTGTTCTTACCACTTTAAGCTTCAATTCATATCTAAGAATACCATGTTTCTAACTCCTGCCCATTGACTTATATTCATCACATATAATCATCTATGGCAAAAAATGTAAAGTTTTCATTTAAAGAGATTGTATTGGAAGCTGATCATCTAGAAGAGCAGCATGTGTTCTTAACTGATAAATCATCTCTTCAGCCCTGACACATGTCTTTGAAATAAAAACATCATTCACACTGAATCTTAAGTCAAAGTGCAGCTGTATCTACAAACCTGTCTGTGTTATGTCCTGACACTCAGCAGCAAAGGCCATATAAAATGTACTCAGAGCCTAAAACCACCATGACGAAAGAAGTTGTTGTGATAGAATGCTGGCCTCTGAGCATAACACTTATTACCATCCTAACGAGGACAGTTGTGACACCTGGAAGAGATCCTCTTGTTGAAAAAGGGGTGTGTGATCAGACGCTCACCTGAGAGTCCAGCCACTTCTTTCTGGGTCCCATTTCAATTGCATGTAATTCTAGCCCCAGTGCTGGTCTTGGGGGTACTAGAGTACAGATTGTGGAAGGCTAACTGAAAAGGGGTGTGTGCCATCATCCATGCTCAGGTGAGATTTCATTTCATTCATGTTGCTCAACCTTCACCTGTGCTCCTGTAAGTAAGTCCAAAACACTCATTGGTGCCCCACACTAGACTAGGGAGGAGCTGTAACTTTGTCATCGGTGCTGTCTCTGAGGTGAGAGAATACTGTTCATATCCCCACCCCAGGAAGGGCAAGCTAACATTAACGTTTTATATGCATATACAGATTGTTTAAATCCAATTTCTAAAAGTCACTAGCTCATCATTGGGCAAATGTCCAAATGCTGAATTTTGCGCTATCTTTTTTCCCTTTTCCATTTCTTCAATTCATCACTGTCTTCTCTCCCTTTACAGATACATTGCTGCGTGAACATTAAAAGTGCGGTAAGTAAATGCTGTGGAGCAGTATCCTCTTAAGAGCCAGCATCTCCATCAGGACAGCTGCCACAGCTTGCAAGCTCAGGCCTTTGACAATCCCTCAAAGGAGGAAGGACCGAGGAGGGTCACGGGACCAAGGCGTTCCAGCCAGTTCCTCCTATACATCCCAATCGATGATGTTTGTTACATGTTTCTGCCCGAATTGTGCATGGCCTGGTGTTTCCAGATGTGCTGGAGTATACAGTGTGTGGAAGGTTAACTGAAAGGGGGACTTAATCTGTGCAGCTATGGGGAAGTCATTCATAGTGAGGTGAGACTTACTGGTATGGGAAGTAGCTTTGGGGTCACCCATGCTCTGTAAGTAATTTCATTAAACTCACTGGTTTGTCAAGTTAGATTTTGGTGGAATCATACTTAGGTTTGTCGTTGATGTCCTGTAAGGAAGAGACAGTCATTTATTTATGTTCCCCCAGAAAAAGAGTTTCTGAAACAGTTAAAAAAAAACAAATTAAATGGGGCTGGAGAGGTAGCTCAGCAATTAAGAGCACTGCCTTCTCTTCCAGAGGACCCTGGTTCCGATTCCCAGAACCCACATGATAGTGCATAACCATTAACCATCTCTAACTCTAGTTCCTGGGGATCCAATGCCCTCTTCTGATCCCCACAGGCTTGTGGTGTACACACATATATATGCAGGCAAAACACACATATTAATAAATGTAGAGCCTCCAAAGCTACAGAGAAAGCCTGTCTTGAAAAACCAAAAATAAATAAATAAATAAATGTAGAACAGATTTTTAAAATTAATTTAAAACCTAAGTTATATAGGTGAAATTTGTACATAACGTGGGTATAAAAAGTTACCCAGCAGAACAAAGGGGCAAACATTGTCAAAGAGCATTTATGGCCCTGAGAGATAACAGAAAAACCATGCAGTCAGGTTGTGCCCTCAAGATTTGTTCTATGCTCCATTCTTGCCATGCTTCCTTTAATTAAATCTATTAATATGAACAGTTCCATAGACTAAGAATTGATGTTTAGTAAAATGCACTTTGCCTGACTGCGAAAGATGCCAAGAAAAGCAAGTGTAGCTAACAGTGCCTGAGCACTGTAAAACAAAACAAAATAAAAATAACAAAAAACCACTGTGAACAGAAAAATTCATAATAAAAAAGAACAATTTGTTATTAACATGAAAATTTTCCTACACATTCCACAGACAAACCAAAAAGATCAGCAGTGAAGACAGTAATAACTACAAATATCGTACCTTATTTCCTATTTTGCCTGTAGATTAAGTGAAAAACATTAGATTTTAAAGATTTACTCTGCTATTAAGTGTGTGTGTGTGTGTGTGTATAGGTGTATGTGTGTGTCCTGTGGTGTGTGTGTGTGCCAGGATTGTTTTAGTTTTTGCCAGACATTTTGCCCTCACAAACCTGGGTAACCTCTAGATGACACTACAGCAATTTCCATTTAGACAGGAGGAGGAAGCCCTTGAGGGTGGCCTAGTGGGAGTGTGGGGGCTGCCATCACTGGTCCTAAAGAGAAGATCCTATCCTATGACTGGTGCAAGCACAAATGTGGGATCTTTGCACATCTGTGTGCACATCTGTGTCAGATGCTATACCCCTTCTCCTACTCTATAAATGGGCTGCTCAGGCTCACTTGGTTAGTCAGCTAGGAGACACTAGCTCTTTCCTTTTGTAATATTAGGCTCAATAAAAAGTTTCTTTCTTTTTGGGGGGCTGGGGTCTGGTTCAAGAAAGGGTCTCACTATATAGCTCTGACTGTCTTGAAACGCACAATGTAGACCAGGCTGGCCTCAAAGAGGTCTGCTTGCTTCTGCCTCCCTCCTAGTGCTAGGATTAAAGGCATGCACCACTACACACAGCTTACAAGTTTCTTTTTTTTTTTTTTTTTTTTGGTTTTACGAGACAGGGTTTCTCTGTATTGTTTTGGAGGCTG